GTACGAGCCCGATATTACGGGAAATATATAATCAAATTGATGGCGCAGCGAGCAATCGTTTTTGTCTCCCGCGGGCGCTGCCTCCCGTAAAGGAAATATAAAAATTCAATAAAACCGGCTCGTAAAAGAGGAACTGATAAACCGCGTACGAGGCGTAATCGGACGAATAAAACTTAACGAGCGACGCGAATTATGAACGGATTTTAAGTGAATATCGACAATATACAAATAAAATACAATTTCACCTAAAGCTTTCATGCAACAATTCAAATGTCTCTAAAACATGCGAGAAATGCCCTTTGTGAGAAATACTGAAGCGGGGGAAAAAATTGTATCGTTTCGCGTTCGCTATGGGGGAGGAGGTTGAAGGGATGCGAGGGCGGCGATCAAAAGGGCGGCAGGTGACGCGCGTTTGTGCATGTTTACGCCGTTTCCGAATCGACGCTTGTCAACGTGATTTGGGCTCGTCGATTGACGTTTTCGAGGAAAGGGCGTCGCGATGCTCCGACGAAAAGTCGAATTATTAAAGATATTTCGATTATTAAAGGGGAAGTTTCGGATTCTCTATATAAATTATGGCATAGGTCACCTTAATCTTGATGGATAGTAATTTTATAGGCTTTCAATAGGCATATGGAATTCGAATTTTATATCATCCCCCTTGCGCCATGTCACCCCAACATACGGTAGCGTTTAAGGGATATACATTTTGGCGTTTTCATGGAACCTATCCCCTATTTTATTACAAACTGTTTGTTTTTTTTTTTCACTGCACAATTTATATAAATTATCCCTTTTAAAACGCTGGGAATAGTTTGTATATCGTTCATCGATTTTTATCTGTTATTTCAACAGTTTATGGTGTCCTAAATTTCTCGTCGCACGCCAATGAACCGCGAATATCCGTAGAAGATTCGACGAAGAGAAAGCTTTTGTGTAACGCCGAAGGGCCTGCAGCCTCAGAAAAGTGGCTACTGATGTGATCACGAGCCGTGCAAATCGATGTTCGTTTTACCCCTTAATAGACGGGGTCGAATCCCAGCTAGTCGAGTAAATATTTTCCCGGATAATCGAGTTCACTTCAGCGACGGTTTTCGTCTAGCTGCCGGATTTAACGATTCTCTTTCACGATTCCCGCGCATTTGCGATTTATTAACGGCACATATTCTTTCGTCATTAATGGGAGTTGATTAAAAATTCCACCGACGCTCGCCCCTCGCGCCTCAATTCGCAGAAATATGCTCCGGAGGAACGGGGCAATGAATTGAACCGCGCTTAAATTAATTAGCGGCGTTAAACGGAGGGAGAGCGCCCGTTCATGATCCTCGACGAACGTGATACAAAAAGCGAGGGTGGTTTATTTGACCGCGTCGAAGAGGGAGGGAATGAAGGGTGGCCGGGCGAGCGGCGAGGCGAGAGAAATCCGGACCCTCCGAAAGTTGTTTCTCGAAACGTGACTCCTATCCCGTCAAAGGGCGAGAGTTGTTTATTGGGTTTTTCTGCGGTAGGGAATTGTGTAGTTTAAACTATCATCCCAAAACTATACCTATTATATTCTCATGGGGCTTGTTTAAATTTGCCCTATTTTCTTCCGCTCAGTTAGCATTATAACATATGTTTTTATAAATTTATTTCTCCTTACTTTATTTCCATTTCCTCATCGTCGTATTTTTTTATTAATTCCCTGAATATCTCCACTTGAAAATCTGCACAATACACCGCCCATCTTTCTTTTAAACCTCCATAAAACTAATTAAAACGCGGAATCAAAAAAGGTTATTGGAAAACTCGTCGTTTCGAGCCGATGGAGCGGAACAAGCGGCGTCGCGACGCCGACGCGTCACGTGACTTTACGAGGCGGATTCCGGGGATTTTTTTTCTGGCGCTTTGATCACAGTTTCGCAATGTTTGCTATAACAAGGAAAACTTTTCCCGATATGGAAATATCCCCAGAAGGCCTTCGCGTAATAATATTATTTGAATTCGAAATCAGCCTTTCGGATGGATGTATCGATAGAGCCGGAATTCCATATGGAAATTGTACGTGAGATGGTTTTATTTTGGAAGGGGATTTGTATATATAGGCATAAAAAAAGGGGATTTTTTTTCTACGTTATAAGATTCCCGGTTACGAGAGATTTATTTTCCGCGTATACGATCTCAATGTATAACTAACACTCGATCGGGTAAACGAGAGGTTGGAAAAAAAAATGAGAAACAAAACAACCCGAGCGAGAGACCCGTTCACCCCTAATCGCAAAACTGACCCACGTGTTACGTCAAAATAAGCTTCGAGTGACGGCAACGCTGTTTGAAGAGTTATTTGAAGAGGGTCGGCCGGCAATAGAGGGTGTGTTAATTGCCGACGGCACGGTCTGTGTATCCCGATGTTACCCCGTGCGTGTTTGCATATGTAAGCATCACGTGTTTGCTCTGAGACGCCATAATCTGATCTCTCTCCCTTGTTTCCTTCCTTCTATATATACTCCGGGAGCCAAACTCAATTTAGTATCAACGTATTGATACACAAGGTCTGTCTAGAATTATTTAGAACCATTCCAGAACTGACTATGAATTTATGAAATAGTTCACGATCAGGATACTCTTATAGATTCATTTAGAACTGTCCAAAATAATTTAAAACAGTTTCAGGAATATTTGGGTAGCAATATGTTATAGTGAATTGTATTTAGAGAATTCTCTTATAGTCGCTGCTCCCCGACTATGAGTCGGGGGGTGAGCGCTAAACGCCCCCCGGGACTCGATTTGAATATGGGCGAGTCTCTAATTTTGTTGTTTAATGGAACTTCGCGGTTTTTGAGCGACAGCGAAAAGGGAAAGGGACATTATCTGGCGGTGTTATCGAGTGGTGTGCCCTACCTAAGCGCGCGGAGGGTTTGGAGGCGAGAGATTTAGAGCGACGACTTGTTCGCACGCCATGCAAATTCAATTTCCAGTTTCGAGTTTGAGCCTCCGAACGAAAATCTCGTGCACCCGATCGCCAATATTTTAAGCGAGACCAACAAAAAAAATTCGTAGTGTAATAATTCAGGTTAGTTCAGGTTAGCGAGCGATTCGCACCCTCCGTTTCGCATCAACGAATAATTAGGGGTGGCAAAAAGACATTCCGGCCGGCTGAACAAACAAAATACCGAATTACATCCATCCCGGCGGTTTCCAATAATTCGTCGCAGCGCGCGCGCCGGCTAAATTAACGCTCTCGTTAGGGCCGCCCTCGAAACTCTCCGGCACAAATCTCCGCTAAAACCGCTCCGACACAACAGCGGCAATTAAGCGAGCGAGAGCCGAGTGCGGGGGCTTCTTCGCGACACCCGCAAATCCCTGCCCTTCCCCATCGGTGAGTAACTGCAACGTAAACTTCCTCGCAACGCCCGGAAATGACTTCTGTTCCGGTTTCGGAGCCGCGACCCGCCCGGAACTTTTACGGCGGAACGTAAAAGGCACGCGAGGCATTCCTCCGGAGGTGGCCCAGTGGCGCTTTCAAAACTTTCGAATACACTATACCCGTAGAATAATTTATTAACAGTAATCTACCTACTCGTATAGATAAATAATGGAAGTTTGGAGTGAAAAATAAATAGGTAGATTACCTACAATAATATTGTATAAAAAATATAAGTATTTACAATTTTAATAAAATATTGATGCCACCACTGGTTCCTTTCGCGATCAGAAATTGAAATTGGAGACGGATCAGTTTCGTGTCTTGTTAAAAGAAACAACGATGGTATCGCATTGAAAAATAGTCCGGCGAATCCCGCAAACGGTAATAGTGCTCTACAAACATGACGTTTTCCTTTCTGTATTTTATTAGCTGAAATCGATTCCCTGGAGCGTGATAAAAGAGCCCTTATCGTGACATGCACTGGAGTCGGACCTTTATTGCCAATAAAAAAAAAGCGAAGAGGAAGAGGGATGAATGGGAGAGGAGGAAATTCGAACGGGGGAGCGGGATTTTTTTAACGGTTTTCCAATTTACCACACTAAAAAATAATAATTTCTGACGCTTTTCCATATAGCCGTCCCATCGATGTGTATGAAAAATGACAGGTCTGTATATGAAAATTAGACTGAAGAATAGCGAAACTCGGCGTTTCGCATTCGCGGATTAACGTTCGGAAAAGTAGATTTTCGTGTTGAGAAAGAGAGATTCGAAATAATAAAGCTATTATTCGAACTGCTTTACATACGCGACGGACGGAAAACTGCGAAGGCAAACGGGAAAATTCAATCGTCCCGGCGTGCCGACGTGAGGAGCGCTATAAAATTAAATCGATTCGATCCTACCGGAATATGAAGTCGTCCGATTTTTTTTTCGCGAACAAAGCGATGTTTATTCATCGCATATATCCCGCAAGAAAATCAATTAGCGAGAATTCGCAGGCGAAATGGGGTCGAATTAACCGGTCAGAAATATCGCAATAATCCCTTTTCTAAGGCCGTTTCCCGACGTTCTCCCGAATTCCGGACAGGTCGCTGGCAAGCCGCTCGTGCCCGGAATACGTCGCCGGCGTGGAAATTACGGAAAATTATCAGGCGAAACACGTTCGGGACCCATTACGGCGGCGGGTTTACCAGCGGCTGCTTGATTATCGTATTATCGGGGTGTATTGTAGCGCACTTGATGTTCCAAACATACTCATTTGCTCGACGTCGAAGCGCCCCAATGCGAAGGGAGGATCGCCCATCGCTCAAAAAAATATACCTGCCTATTTTGTATTAATGACTCACATCAATTTGTACGTGTATCGAGTTTCTACAATTTATCTGCAACTGTTTGGGAGAAGTGGAATAAGAACCAATTTCGGAGCTACATACCATTGTGATTCACCCTGTATACAGGAGTTTACTTTAGAGGACGTATCTTTACAGAAATTGTTAGTTTGGATTGAATTTTCCTCCAATTTTTACTCATTATGTATTTCCGAACGTTTTGTAAGATAAAATACTGATAACTATAAATAGAACAAAAAACTTACCTGTTTATGCATTTCGACGTTGAGGCCGTAAGACATTTCGTAATACTGCAACAAAAAATAACGAAATAAAAAAAACCTATAAATAGAATCAAATAAATTTCTTAATTATATCATTTAATAGGATTTTTATCGATTAATATTCGACTAATATCCCGTCGTTTTTGACGAAACCGAAACGAGCGAATGCAACATAATTTAAAACGGAATTTCCACGCCCGAGTTAGGCGTAATTAGACGTTAATATAATTTACGATTATCCGCTAAAGCCGATCGGTTGACGGCGATATGCCCTCACTCGTCGCCCTTTTCCCTGCGCCCTTCGCCGGAATATTCCTAGAATTTATGTAGGCTATTAACCGAAAGACCCGGAGGCGAGCAAATACTCCGCCATCTTCGTCATTTCTGGCATCTTCGATGTTTCTTACGGTATTTTAGGCGGAATAACTTGTCATGGGGCGGTAATAAGATGAGGTCGTCTCTCTCCCTTTTCGCCGAGCCAATTTACCTCGAGAATCTCGTATTTTAATTAATGAATTTGATTGATCTCCCAAAGCGGAAAAATTAATAGGGTAATTAACGGTAATTTTCGTAATTATTTCGTAAAAATAAACTGCTTATTTACAGAGCTTTCGGAACTTTTTTCGGGAGATGAATTACCCAATAAACACGTTTCCTGTAATTAATAATTTACTCTTCGCATAGCTTTAAAAAAATTAATCAAAATGAAGTGTAAATTGTTTTTAATACTTTTTAAGCAGACACCGGATTAATTTTAATGGAAAAATGGAATAAACAATGCAGGAAATAATGGATAAACATTTCATTAGGGACTATTTCGATGGAAAATAGAGAATAGAAGGCCGAAAGGTAATCGGTAATAATTGCAAATATGCGGTTGATTGCGTACATTATTCGCTGTGCTCGCATATTGATTTCGATTGTTGCATTTTATTTGACGCCGAATATTTAATTTAATACGTATACGTTTGATTTTATGTATATGAATAGGGTTCTATGTTATATATTCGCTAATTCGAAACCGAGCGAATTATGATATTATTAGGTAACAAATTCAATGCATTCGTATGTGTACTTTCTCATACCTATCAATAGAATCCAATCGTGTCAATCAATATTGAAGTGCTAAAACTTACAAAACGAGCCGATTTATCGTCTCTCACAACTTATTGCTATAAATTAATTCGAACTGGTATTTCCCAACGCCTCACCGGTTAATTTATTAACTTCACAAAATTATTACGAAAACATTTCGTACGGAAAGTAAAACCAATAAATTAACCGGCCGAGTCGATATCCGCCTAACATAATGTTAACAACCAATTTTCTAATTTCATTCACCGCCAGGCACGTCCCGTTGAAAAATCCAATTTGTTCGAATCTATTATCCGCACACAAAAAAAAAACACGAATAACTTATACAATAAAATCGTCCATTATAGTCCGTCCCGATAATCGGCCGAGTCATTTATAGTCTCAAAAAAAATTAGCATTCAATACAATCGCACCTCACACGTGTTCAATTCGCCAATTCTCACGAGAACGCATCGAACACACATCGGCTAATTCTAGATAAATACATCTATTATCGCCAATAAATTATTATCTTATCCAATTATGGTCGCGTAATTGGCCATGTCTACGTCTCGTTACGATCATCGCTTCTAAAATCGCTTTATAAACTCTCTCACGACGGTTCCCGTTTCGATAACGAAATATTCGATTCCCGCAGATCGTAGATAAATATCTAACTGTAAATCGGCCGGAGATTCGCACGATTGCCGCAAAAAGAAAGCGAGACCTCGAATGTCCGAAATAAACTGCTAAGGCATCGATGTTATTAATGGTCGAATTCTTTCAATAAAACTACTGCTCGACGAACGCATTATATTACGAGGAACGTAAATGCGAAATGGCGTGACGAACAGCCATCAACTCGTTCGAAAAAAAAAAGGCCTTAATAACTACCAGCGAAGGAAATAATTTAAGTCGATTCTATCGGTGCTGTAGCCGGTTTTTTTTAATAGCCACGTTATGGCTGCAATTCCAGCTCGGCGAGCAAGATTTGCTTTGGTTTCCGTCCGAATGTTTAAGGTCGGTTTAGGCGCGTTTTCGATCGCGCCGCGTGAGCGGGCCTTAGAAATGATTTGTCGATGGATCGAAAACAAATAACTCGTTAATAATTCGAATTCCGCCTTTGGAGAGAGAAGACGAGTCGCGATAAATTGTTTTGAAAGAAATTAACGTGGGCGACGCGACTGTCATTAAAATTCTCGACGAACGCGACCCGTTTAGTCGCAATGAAATGCTCCTGTAATGTTAAATTTTATTTTTAGATGAACCGTGTGGGTTGCCGTTGTTGCGAGAAGGAGTTTCGTTTGAAAAATGATCTAGTTAATTTTTGTTCACTGTATTATAATTATTGCGAGTACATGTATCGATAAAAATGCAGGTAGGTTCCTAACTGCAAGTTAATTGGAAAATGTACTTACCATTACATAATGTCTTTGGATTTCTATTTTTTCGCTCGCCAATTTTTCGCATTCCAACTTTAAACTGTAAAAAATAAAAACACGTATTAAATTAAAACAATTATTAACACGTATCTAATAAAATAGAACTTCCATTCAATTAGATAATGTATATTTATAAAGTCATTACTAAAACAACCATTAACATTCACCCTATTTTTATACATAAAAGATATCCAATATTTTTTCGATTGATAAAAATCGATTCGACCTTATTCCTTGTCGGCCGAATTGCTCTCTATATCGTCATCTTTATTGAACTAAATAAACTACACGTACGCTCTAAATAATTTACAACGTCGTCGAATCGAAGTCAAATAAAATTATTAATAAATCGGCATGTAATCTATTCCACTCTTCGAATTCTCCACGGGTCGGTCGTTCGATAAATGACTGGAATTATCGGGAGAATTTTTACGGAAGGAAATAATGTTGCCATTCGCTGTAATAATATACCATTACTAATCGCAGAGAACATCATTATAATTTTCTTCGCCTTGTAATTACGTATAATATCGCGAAGATAAATTTATTTAATAATTCCCTCGATGGATAGGATGGTATTTGTAGAATTTATTTCGATTTAACTCACTTGTGATATTGGGCCTGTAGAAAACTAAATTCTTCCTTAATCCTATCGCACGACTCCCCAACGGTGAATTTGAACGGCTGGCCCGGTTGTGGAGGCCCCTGTAAAATAAAAAAAATATATTAAAATTTCCGCCCAAAAACCAGCGCGGCAGCCGATGTGTTAAACAACAGGTAATTTTATATCGGCACATGTACAGATTATAATTTAATTACTTAACGAACGAAAATAAAATCGAAAAGAAATCCGGACCACACCTCGCGCTAGACAGATTGTAAGCCCATTAAATTCGATGCGAAGACCGTAACCCGATACAAATCCTGTTGCTCACACACGCATTCTACACAGTTTCTGTTGCTGTCGCCCAATTAATTTCTATGAAAACCGCTCTACACAGGACAGGATCCCGTCGCAAACCAAGCCGACGGATTAAGATTTAACATTCAAACCCCGGATTATTCAGGTACTCAGTTGGTATATTATATCCACAAGATCGATGTGGTTATAGGGAAAAAATACAGTGCGAGATTTTGCAAATAAATTTGACGAATTTTTATAACATTATTAACATTTCTCAATGATTTTTGACTGTCCTAAATGGTTTATACAAGCTGTATAAACGGTTTCAAGAGGCTTTAGTTAGTTCTAAAATGGTTCTAAATGATTCTGGACTGGTGAACAATTTCAAACTGTCCTGATTTCTTTTCCTCTCGTGGCATATTATAATGGTGAGATATACTCTTTTTCTCTATCACATTCTCTACTGAAAGTGAATTGTAAATGTATAGTGGGGAAGTTTTGGATAAGGAAGGTTTTCTTGGAGTCCGGCGCTGGACTCATTTATCCGGACGGCCGCGGCAAAAAGAAGAGGAGCTCGATTTCACGCCGAACAACTAGTTTTCGTTTTTACGTCCAAACCGAGAGGCCGAGAGAGAGACCGCAACGAAACGGGGCGCGCCTCTTTGTTTAAGGTCGTCGTTTTTCTTGTTGCACGAGCGAGCACTCCTGTCTTTTTCTGTCGTTATTTTAATGCGTGTTTTCTTTTTGCGGGGCTCGTAATGCGGCGTGAAAATTAAAAGCCCGTTCCGAAGATATTTCCTGAGGAATTTGTCGATTCTCGATGTTTTACGGGCGTACTATAAACTTTCACACGTCGACTGCCGCGTCGGTCGCCGTCAAGCTTAATAATAATTGTTTACTTCTTTTTTTTATATATCTATGTAATTAAAAAACCTCAAGTCCGGACAAATAATACTTGTATACATTTTATAATTGTTTGTATCGAATGATTAAACACGACGTTTAAGGACCTATTATTACAAAGTAAATACGATATTTTAATTATTTATTATCGGTTTTTTTTTGCTTGATTACACTTTAACAAACGTATTTATCAATTAGTTGCATTCGATTTTAATGCTCAATAACAAAAACCGGATACGTTTACACAGGAAAAAAATCCATCCCAATCGAACCCAAACCGAATTCGTTTCTTCTCCACTTTTTTTCAAACTAGGTATGTATGTACTTCCAAGATCAATATTTAATCTAGAGAGACAGAATATTTGTGAGGAAACGATATGCAGCCTGTGTACATTCCTGAATGGCCGAGAACTAATATTTACTTGGAACAAATAAATATACAGTGACGTAATATCCGGCAGCTAAACGTTCCTCCCCCTTCGACCTCTTCAAACACGTTCAAACAACACGAACGTATCGCATGTCGACCAAACTAAATACGCGAATCGGTTTTTAGTCGATGTCCCTATCTAAAAAATATCAATTACACCGCTTACGATATTTGACAACATTGACAAACGTCAATACATTGACATATTGCTCATTTGCATTTCACGAGCTACTCCGATTTTTAGTAACGGAATTAATCTAGTTTCCGAATTAAAACGGCGAATTAGGCGTAATTATCGCACTCATTAAAATTCAATTCCGCCAAAGGTATAGTCGGTTAATTGACGCTGTCACCGTTGTCGAGTGAATAATTAAAAGTCATTATATTGTCTAAAAGCAATTACATTTCGATATAAATTAATTGAATTGTTTACATATTTGTTAATGTGTTTCGGTCCGATGTACGCTCATATAGGAACACATCTACACGCATTCCCGTAACTGCTGTTAAAAGATTAATGTGTAGTTTATGCCGATTATTATTGTAAAATTCATCCAGCTAAAGTTCATAATGCGCATCGACGATAACAAATTTCACCCGTTTGGATTCGAATGGCTTATCAACTAAAATCTAATCTGATGGAGCAGCTAAATTTTCAACAGGAAATTATCCGAAAAAAAAGCCAACAGTGGGGTTTTAATTATGAAATTATAACAACGTTTGATGGAGTAACCGAACCTGTTCGGAACTAAAACGTTTTTAATGATCGTCCGGCGATAAATTAACGCGGTGTCAACGGTAATTTATAACACGAAATACCGTTTATAATATGAATTTGTCGAAATACTATTAGGGATTTACTCTAAATTCGCATCGAATTTCGACAAGATATCAAGTTAAAATCGACTAATCGCTTCACAGACCGCGAAATTGCACGGCTAACGGCAAACCGCCCGTATACAAAAGGCATTATTTACGCGAAACGAGCAAGATAACAGAAAGTACACGTCAGGATAAACATCGTGTCGGATATTCGGATTGATATTTGGAATTCTAGTATACATAAATGGATAGGCGTTAATGTAATTTTTACTTCCCCCAAACGGCGTTTATTTTATGCGAGTTTTTGCAAATGAAATTCATCGATTCTTGCGATAGCACGAACTGCAAAAATCTAGATTCTTCAACCGATTACTTAACAATTTAATGGGTGGATATAAATAATTTATAAATTTTTTACGCCGTTTCGCGTTTTCTCTACGCAACGATTCCAACTTCCTATATGTAGTTAATATTTATCAGAAAACTACGTGATTCATTTATAAAACTATTACCGAAGTGATTGCGTTTCTTTTATTAGGTTGTAAAAATTCCTTTCGTGTTGTGTATGTGAACGCGATTTTACGTTCTTGGAGATGTCGTATTAAATAAAATGTTTTAGTGCGTTTGATGTTTTTTTTTGAAAATTTCGCACTAGTTTATTATTAGCATATACTAAATTAAACTAACTGGTAAAATTTAAATGAATATTATGTACACAATTCATACCATGTTAGCGTGTATGTGCACGCTCGTATAATATTAATATAAATTCGTTACCATTAATTCATACCGGCATAAATAATTTCTCTACATAAACTTCCATTCCGTTCTGTCAATTTTCGGCCAATGGAATATTGGATTATATCGTTTTAATATATTTATACCGATGTAATACATTTATTAACAAATTTGTATAAACGTTGGCGGAATAATTAGCCACCATATTAAAATGCACGTACGAATTTCAATCGCCTAATAACTAATAAATTTTCATTAGCTTCGGAAATGCGAACACAGTCCTCTAAAGCCGTAATCGAACATATTTACTCGATGAGAATTCAATAATTGAGTGAACGCGAAAAAAATCGAATTAAAAGCATCGCAATTCCTAACTAGCACGTCGAACCGCTTCAAAAATAAAATTCTCACTAAAAATAACAACATTTTTTGCAGCCTTTTTTATCGCCAGAAAAATAATAAGCCATTAAATTTCGCCATCCGAACCATTCCGGGAATCCGGTATCAACTCGCATCAGGTACCGGTTTGCGGAAACGCAAACAAAACAACAGGGCGGAAAATACCTCTTTATCGCACGGAGATGTCTTGCAAGATTTCGGATCGAAAGGCTTCTGTTCAGTCACGATTCCGCTCGTCGGCGGCGCATTAACTGCTGATTTCTTGTTACACGTCAATTCACCGCAATTGCGACGGGTTTTTACAGCACTATTTACAGGGTGACCCATCCACGGGGCGCACTTATAGTGTAAAAACCATTCCAACTAGTCCAGAATTTGTTTGAGACAGAATTATATTGGACAATTCAAAAATAAAAATACAAAATCGTCCTGAACTATTTCAAACGCTCTTATTCGATTCTAAAATATTTCTAAACGATTCTGGACAGTTCTGAATGATTTTAAACACCTCTAAAACTATCTTGAACAATATATTTCCTCTATTACAATGACTTAAGACTATTACAATGACTCTTTATCGCACTTGTATTAAACCCATGTCTACATAGCATCCGATCCGGTATAGGGAGTCTATAAACGAGTAAAAGTAAAATCTTGTACAATACATTAGTGACTAAAAGAATCGAATGTCATTAAAGATTCAACGTATTGTTGGGACATGATGAATATGTATAGATTGTACCAACGAACGTATACACAAAGTCAACATACGGAAGAGTAATAAACTCGACAAATATTTAGCGGTAAATATTAACGCGGGGCAAACAAAAATATAAATATTTGTGTCGCCGGTGCGGAGCAATATTTGACAAATCCAAATTAAATATGTCAATTGCTAGACGCGCATTCGAAGCACGAAATTCAGCTTCGTGAAACAATCCTCCGCACGTAATTAATGTAAATTAAGAAGAAGAAAAAGAATGTAGAAAGTAAATATGTATTTATCTAAAGCTATTGAATAAGAATAAGCGCGCCGGTAAATAACGCGTTGTGTTTGTTTTAAAGGAGCGGGAAAATGTTTAAGGCAAACACGAGCCCTAAAAAAAAAATACAAATTACAACGGAAAACGAAAAGAAAAAAGGTTATCTCGGGCCCGCTTTAACGCGGGTAAGTACAAAATTAAACGTCAGGTGGCCGACTTTCAACACACCCACACGCCTCCAAACTACACTCCGTATCTTCTAATTACGACGTTTCACCACTTAATTGCCTCTAAGCAGTCGACGACGCGGGACTAACGAACGCGATACACTAGACAGGGGGAGCGGAGCTATCCCGAATCGTTTCTGGAACGGGCTCGTGCATGTTCCCACTGGCTTTAAGGTGATGTCTAATTAATGATTATTACTTACAGTTTGGGCAACACAAGAGACCAGCCGGTTATGGTCGAGGACTTTTCGATTGCAAGAAACACTTTGTGCATCGGATTATTTATGGTTATTGGTCTG